ATTCCAGGTCCAATAACCTCATCTCACCCATGTACAAGCTACACGATCAACATGCCATTTCAAATACTATCAATAACCTCATACGATGTGATTCGTGCGCCAACAAGCAACCACTCAAATATGATCAATAATGGAAAAAGAACCAACGGAGAACTACCCAACAAGTTTAACAGATACAACATTAAGAGCATAATGCTATTAATCAATCCCACAAGGGAGAAATAAAACACACAAAATGAGCACAAAGAATCATATCCAACATAACTCCGTCGCGACGTGTAACCCGATCCACATATACCAATCCACCTGGGGATACCCATCGAGCCATAATGCTCATACTCACCAAGCAAATGAGTAATAATCGCAAGTTAAAGTGCATAAACATAACAATGGGGAGATGGATAACAGAATGCGCTACGAAAAGGCCAAGCACGATTAAGGTGCAATAAGCAAATCAACACCTCAATAGCCATCTCGCTCAAATATCTCCACAAGGCATAAACACAACCACAACATGCATGTGAATAATCAAGTCGTCTCACAACTCATCATAGCATAAGTAATGCATGAAACGGATCAAGGCATGAATAACATCCATTCCGCCCGATGACACACCCGTAGAAAATATTGCACTGAAAGAGCGAATCCAATCCAGTGTAGAATAAACATTCTCATTACGCTTAACAATGGCCTCCAAACCAATTCGGGTCATTCCAAAATAGGTCAATAGCCTTCCAAAAATCCACAGTGACCTCATCGATGACACATACAATCAACTGTCAAATCTTGAATGCACTTCCACAGTCCGCAACTAAAGGTATAGTCTATTTCTTAGAAATATAATCTCCAAACAACCATAGTACTAGAATCCCCATCTGATCTCTAACTCTTTTTCTTGATGACTGACACGTTACACATACACAATCAACCCATGGAAGATACTGCCATAACCTTTCGTACCAAGTAGCGAAACCTAAACATCAATGGCTACCAGCCATGCAATTTCGATAGTACTAGTCAAGGATCCACAATGAATACACAATGCATCTTCCACTAAACACACCATTCTTAGGCTATACAAAAATAGTGCTAGCATTTTCTTAAACATCAGATATTTTACATGTTGTCTAGAATTCATAACATTCCTTTTGAAGCTTAACTGCAACCTTGTTCATGCAATCCCAATTCCACACAACTCATTGCATTAATCATGCTCATATGCAAAAATATGAGAATCTCTTTATCAACCCTGAATCACGAATATGATACACACTTTATCAACCAGAAACTTTCCATTGAGCTAAGTTACGGAGAGAATCACAACATGCAACAAAATTTCCATGCCTGTAGAAGACGCCAACTATAAGCCATGCTCAAATTTATCGCAAAACTCTTCAAAATCCATAGGCACATAACCAAGCTAGCCGAATTACATCTCTCCAAATCACCCAAATCACACAAACTACCAAACCCAACAATATTACCATAAAAACACATGTTAAGCCCTATAATACCAAAAGAGTTGATCGTCTCCATTACCATGTTGACCTAAGCCACTGCTAAACGGACCCAACTCCTTCAGATTACACATGACCCACCTTCATGGCCACGCTACTCTTCCCCAGTACACTATCGACCTCAATCAAAACTCATCCCAAGTGATCCCAACATGAAATCTCGTTGTCCTCAGACTCGTGAGCCACTTTATTCCCTCTTATATGCACAATAGTACCTCTAACTCACGTACCTGTTCTGAATAATCCTTCTATGAATCTGACATTGTTCCCTCCATTTCTCAAACACCACCTCGCAAAACCGACAATGATACAGAAACGCTCCGAGTCTCTTTCAAAAACCAACACAAACCTCGAATCTTCAGTCACACACAAATTCAAAAATCCTTAGATATCACATATTGAATCTTTAATCCATCAGAACCTTCTCGAGAGTCACCCACTCAGTCTTAGTACCGAATATATATAGTAAATCATGCCAAATGATCAGTTTTCCATTAGCACATGAATACTCCAAAAAGAAAACAACCGCTTAAATCCTTCCCTTACACACTACCGCTACAGATAAATATTGAACATGAGTCCTCCCACAACCTCCATATATCACCAAGGTGAAATACAACACGAACCTAGTAATTCCTTGCTCGAATCATCCTCGAAGTCATTCTCCTAAAATTATATCTAGCCCACAAATGTTTCTTAGTCCAGAATTTATACAACACATGACTAGGTGACCCAATCGCCGATGGTAGACTCTCCCACTGGGCTCTAAACCACAATCACATAACCCAAGAACCCATGATAACTGCTCCTCTTTAACTGCCATGTTCCCACACTGTTACTCAGTTGAATTTCGCATAAGCTCATGTTGCACCAACCATAATGCATCGCAGATCATCAACCAAAATACACACTTAACCTCGTGATAGTCGTTCTATCTTCCTCAAGTGATCTGAACCTATATCGTAGAACATGCATCCCATCGGGTAGAAGGTAATACTCTTCATCGAAACCTTATAAGAAATTAGGCGACCTCCAACCTTCTCACATGAGATATCCCACCTATGTGACCTTATATCAACATCTTCCTATGACCTGCCGTGGTATAATTCTATATAATCAATGACTCCAGCCGAGTCCACACCCATCTACAAGCTGCAAAAATTTGTTTCATTCCACCAATGAACAAATAGAAGACCCTTCAACACATCCCAACTCAATGCGGTATGCACACACAGATAATACTCCCTCTGTTTCAATTTAGATGACAAACTTTCCTTATTAGTCCGTTCCAAAAAGAATGACACATTTCTATAATTAAAAATAATTCAACTTTAAACTCTTTATTTTACCAATTTTACCCTTAATGAGAAGCTTTTATAATCACACAAATATCATGGCCCCACAAAGCTTTTACCCCTTAAGCTTTTAAGACAACAATTTCAAAAGTCTTTTTTTTAAACTTAAACTCTGTGCCGAGTCAAACTACTTCATCTAAATTGAAATGGATGAAGTAATAGAGTATTCACAATCCCTTAGTGTCACAACCCCAAACCACCAACCAGTCGTGATGGCGCCTAACACACTTGCTAGGCAAGCCGAACATAACAATAACGGATCATAATGACACAAATATTAGAAATAGTACAAGTCTAATACCAATAACAAAAATAATTACGTCGAAATACAATAACCCCCCGGAGCTGGTAAATACAATGTCATGAGTTCTAAAAAAAAGTTCAAGTCTGGAATACAAATAGCAATACTATTTGAATGAAATAACAATGCTAAAAAGTGAAGAGACGCAGTGACTGTGGTCGAGATGCAGCTCTACCTTGTCTCTCGAAGGATAAACTTAGGAACAAGTCTCAACTACTAATGGCTCGGTCCAACACCTGGATCTGCATAATTAAGTGCCAGGTGTAGTATGAGCACAACCGACCTCATGTACTCAGCAAGTATCATAACTAACCTAGGCGAGGTAAAAAAAAGCAAGAATTATAAATGATACTCGCTACACACATGTAAAGTTCATAAATCTAACAAGTGCAGAACAATAATATGATCAAGTCATGAACCACAGATAAAACCACCTTGGTGCACACAATAACTTAACATACTCTTATCAGTCAACAATTATGTATATAAAGAAGATATGCAAATAAAACAGATACGCGACCAAGGAAAATTACAAGTAAAAAAGAAATGCGATAACCGAATCAAACACTGGCCAGTATTCCTCATAAATACAATAACCCAACTAAATCTGATCAACTTTTCTCATACCGCGTGCACACCATCAAGAGAGAAATATGAGAGGGTGACCCTAAGGGGATGAATCCTTATCCACACGCTGCACCGCATAGTCACGTGCCAATAATCACAACCCACACGGCGTAATCACGTGCCAAAATCACAACCCACACAATGTAGTCATGTGCTATCAATCCAATCCATATCACACAGAAGTAGATATACAAGTTTACATGAATAATGGATATAAAATTTCATATTCACAGACTGGTATAAGTGACGCACTAAAGTGTATGCATATGCGTAATGTACTACCATAACTCAAATAAGGAAATTACATCACAAAAAAGCAATTATCGGGTTTAATCAGGAGATTAACCTCCATGTAACCTCAAACATGGTTCAAATATCTCACACATGGGTACTAATATAAGAAACATCTCAGATTGAACATTATCAATCAATTCAAGGCATAACACAGCCTAAGCACTACCCCGAGCATGAATAATACCTCGGAGCTCGCACATGGGCCCAACCCCTCACATGTGCGCCACCCATACCATATAGCTATTACAAATAACTCAGGCAACTAGTGCCTTAACCAAGTTTAGGTAAGATACTTATCTCAAGCAAGCTAAATCAGTACTCTAAGAAGCTCTTCTCGCCTAAATCAACCTCCAGACGACCCTAATCTAATAAAAATAACTTAATATCATCAATAAAAGCCATATGAAATAATTCCAACAATAAAGCTAAGATCTTGAATCAATTATGCAAAGTCAACCCAAAACGTCAACCCTAGACTCGCACCCCGAAAACCGACAAACTCACAAATCCTGAACACCCATTTCGATACGAGTCCAAAAATATGTGTTTCATCTAATTCCAACCTCAAATTGACCATCAAATCATCAATTTTCACTCTCCAAAATCATAGTCCAAAAATCTCCAAATCCCACCTTTAACCAACATAAATTAGGTGTAATAATCTATGGGTAATCAATATCTAATACCAAAATCAAGTAAGGATTACTTACCCCTTCAATTGTGATGAAAAGCCCTCCAAAAGTCGCCTCCAACCTAGCTCCACAACTCCAAATAATGAGAATTAACCCAAACCCTTCGAAATATAAACTTGTACAACATTTCTGTATTTGTAGACAATATGCCACATCTGCGACTCCGCTTCTGCGGTCCAAGACCCGCATATGTGGTCTTTATTTAAATCCTAACCTTTTTCTTTTGGGGTCCCTCATCCGCATCTGCAGGACCGCTTCTGCGACCAAAATTTTGCATCTGCGGATTTCTCCTAACCAACAGCCCAGCTCGCTTTTGCGGCTCCCGTGCTACATATGTGGACTTGCATCTACAGCTACAGTTCTGCAGATGTAAAAGCACTAGACTCAACAGTCTTCTATAACGCTAACATAAGTCAAAATGATACAAAATCACTCTGAAACACACTCGAGGCCCCCGAGACCCCGTCCAAACACATCAATCAATCCCAAAACATAACACGAACCTACACAAGGTCTCTAATCACACAAAACAACATCGAAACCATGAATCGCACCTCTAGTCAACCCTTAGGAATTAATCCAAATTTCCAAATTCAAAACTTACACCAAACAAGCCTAAACAACTCGGAATGACCTCAAATTTTACATGCAAGTCCCAAATGATACAATGGACCTATTCCAACTCCCAAAATCATAATCCAAACCCGATATCAACAAAATCAACTCCCTGTCAAACCTATGAACTTCCAAACCTTCAACTTTCCAACTTTCGCCAATTCAAGCCAAAACAACCTAGGAACCTCCAATTCCAAATCTGGACATATGCCTAGGTCCAAAATCACCATACGAAACTATTGGAACCATCAAAATACCATTCCGGAGTCGTCTACACCAAAGGAAAACTACGGTCAACTCTTACAACTTAAGTATTTAACCAAGGGACTAGGTGTCCTAATTCAATCCAAAACTCCCTCGAAACCAAACCAACCATCTCGCAAGTCACATACTCACAAATACACATATGTAAAGCATCAAATAGGGAAAACAAGGCTAAAATACTCGAAACAACTGGCCGGGTCATTACATTCTCCCCCGCTTAAACAAACGTTCATCCTCGAACGAGTCTAGAATCATACTTGGGGTCTAAAAAAGGTGAGGATATCTGCTCTGTATATCCTGCTTGGTCTCCCAAGTAACCTCCTCTATCGGCTGACCTCTCCAATGAACCTTCACCGATACAATTTTCTTCGACCTCAACTTTTGAATCTGCCGGTCCAAAATAGACACTGGCTCCACATCATAAGTCAAATCCTCATCCAACTGCACCGTGCTGATGTCCAACACGTGTGACAGATCCCCGTAATACTTTTAGAGTATGAAAACATGATACACTGGTGAACTTTCAATAGACTAGGTGGTAAGGCAAGTCTGTAGGCCACCTTCCCAACTCTCTCTAGCACCTCAAAAGGACCAATATACCGAGGGCTTAACTTGTCATTCCTACTAAACCTTATCACACCATCCATGGGCAAAAACTCTGAGTAGAACCTTCTCACCCACTATATATACCGCATCACGAGCCTTATTGTCAGCATAACTCTTCTGCCTAGACTGTGTTGTATGAAGTCGCTCATGAATCAAATTTACCTTCTCCAAAGTATCACAGACCAAATCAGTGCCCAATAACCTAGCCTCCCCAGGCTCAAACCAACCAACCGGAGAACGACACCGCCTCCCATAAGTCAAATCCCCATCCAACTGCACCATGCTGAAATAAATGCATGTGACGGATCCCCATAATACTTCCGGGGCATGAAAACATGAAATACTGGGTGAACTTCTGATAGACTAGGTGGCAAGTCAAGTCTGTAGTCCATCTCCCCAACTCTCTCTAGCACCTAAAAAAATAATATACCGAGGACTCAACTTGCCCTTCCTCCCGAACCTCATCACACCCTTCATGGGTGAAACTCTGAGTAGAACCTTCTCACCCACCATATATGCCGCATTATGAGCCTTTCTGTCAGCATAACTCTTCTCTTGGATTGTGTTGTACGAAGTCGCTCCTGAATAAACTTTACCTTATTCAAAGCATCACAGACCAAATCAGTGCCCGACAACCTAGCTTCTCTAGGATCAAACCAACCAACCAGAGAACGACACCACCTCTTATATAAGGTCTCATAAGGAGCCATTTGGATACTCGATTGATAGTTGTTGTTGTAGGCAAACTTTGCTAACAATAGTAACTGATCCTATTGCCCGTCAATCTAGGGATGAAACTATTATACTAAGCTCAGCTTATGTGCTCAGCTTATGTGCTCAACTCACGCTACACTACTCTCCAAAAATGCGATATATCATGCCTTGATCCGAGATAATAGACACGGGCACACCAAGAAGGCGAACAATCTCATGAATATAAATTTAAGCCAACTGCCGTGAAGCGTAGATAGTCATGACTGGAATGAATTGTGAAAACTTAGTAACTCTAACCATAATGACCCACATTGTGTTGAATCTCCCCAAAGTCCGTGGAAGCCCAACTACGAAATCCATAGTGATACACTCCCACTTCCACTCCGGTTTATCAAGCCTCTGAAGTAGACAACCCGGTCTCTGATGCTCTCACTTCACCTGCTGACAGTTCAAACACCGTGCAATATACACAACATTATACTTCTTTATCCTCCGCCACCAATTATGCTTCCTAAAATCGTGGTACATCTTCGCGGCCCCCGGATGAATGGAATACCGCGAACTATGGGCCTCCTCATTAATCAACTCTAGCAACCCCTCCATATTTGGAACACAGATCCGGCCCTGAAGCCTCAATACCCCATCATCTCTAATAGTAACCTCCTTGGCATCACCGTGTTGCACTGTGTCCCTTAGTACAAGTAAGTAGGGATCATCATACTAACGTTGCTTGATGCGCTCAAACAAGGACGACCGTGATACAACACAAGCAAATACCCCTCTAGACTCCGAAACATCCAAGCTCACAAACTGATTAGCCACATCCAATGCTAACGATCTCTCCCCAACTAGAATATAAGCAACACTCCCCATGCTCTCAGCCTTCCTTCTCCAAGCATCAGGCACCATATGGGCCTTCCTGGGGTGATAAAGAATTGTGATATCATAGTCATTTAGTAGATCTAACCATCTCCATTGCCTCAAGTTCAAATCCTTTGCTTGAATAAGTGTTGTAGACTCTTTTGATCTGTGAACACCTCACAAGGCACGCCGTAAATAATTCCTCCAAATCGTGCACTGGGTAGTTCTTCTCATGGGACGTTAACTGACGTGAAGCATAAGCAATCACTCTACCCTCCTACATCAGCATACATCCAATGACAATCTGTGAAGCATCATAATAGACTATATAAGAACCCCATCTCAAAGGCAAAACCAGAACTAGAGTTGTAGTCAAGGCAGGCTTGAGCTTCTGAAAGCTCTCCTCACGTTCATCAGACCACCTAAATAGGGTACCTTTCTTCGTCAATATAGTCAATGAGGCTGCTATATATGAAAACCCCTCCCCAAACCAGCGATAATACCTAGCCTACCCAAGGAAACTCCAAATCTAAGTAGTAGTAGACAGTTTGGGCCAACTCTAAACTGCCTCAATCTTCTTCAGATCCACCTTAATCCCCTCACTGGACACCACGTGGCCTAAAAATTCCCCCTAGTCAAACCAAAACTCACACTTGGACAATTTAGCATATAGCTTCTTCTCCTTCAAAGTATGGAGCATGATTCTCAAGTGTTGTTCATGATCCTCCCGACTGCGAGAATACACCAATATATCATCAATGAATACTATGGCGAAGGAATCCAGATACGACCGAAATACATTGTTCATCATGTGCATAAAAGTTGTTGGGGCATTGATCAACCTAAAAGACATCACCAAGAACTCATAGTGGCCATAACGGGTCCTGAAAGGCGTCTTAGGATTGTCTAAAGCACTGATCTTTAACTGATGATACCCTGATCTCAAGTAATTCTCCGAGAATACCCCATTACCCTGAAAGTGATCAAATAAATCATCGATATGTGGTAGTGGGTACTTGTTCTTGGTAGTAACCTTGTTCAACTACCTGTAATCAATGCACATCCTCATAGAACCATCTTTCTTCTTCACAAATAGTACCAGTGCACTCTAAATGACACACTGGGCCTAATGAAACCCTTATCAAGCAACTCCGGTAATTGTTCCTTCAACTCCTTCAACTTTACTGGTGCCATGCGATATGGTGGAATAGAGATGGGCTTAGTGCCCAACACCAAATCAATACCAAAATCAATATCCCTGTCGGGTGGCATGCTCGACAGGTCTACAGAAAACACATCTAGGAACTCCTTTACTATTGGAATTGACTCAACAATAGGAATATCATCACTAACATCCCTCACAAAATCCAAATATGGCAAACACACCTTCTCAACCATCCGTTGAGCTTTCAAATATGAAATCACTCTACTGGGAGTGTGATCAAGAGAAACTCTCCACTCCATCCTAGGCAACCTTGGAATCACCAACATAACGGTCTTGGTATGACAATCAAGAATAACATAGTATAGAGGTAGTCAATCCATAGCCAAAATCACCTCAAAATCAACAATAATAAGCAATAAAAGATCAACCCTAGTGTCATAACCCCCAATGGTAACCATGCATGACCGATATACAACATCCAATATAATAGAATCACCCATTGGCATAGATTCCTGAACAAGCATATCTAAAGAATCACGAGGCATATCAAAATAACAAGCAAAATATGATAACACATAAGAGTAAGTGGATCCAGGGTCAAATAACAGTGAAACATCCCTACGGCATAATGAAACAATACATGTGATCATGTCGTTGGAAGAAACTGCCTCTGGCTAACAGGAAATGCATAGAAATGAGACTGACCACCACATGACCAACCTCTCCCTCTATGGCGACCTCAAACTGACTGAACCCCACCCCTAGTTGGCTGTGCGGGTTGTGTAGCTACTGGTGTTGGAACCATAAGCTGCGAGCTTTACTATAGGACCCTATTCAAAAGTGTGGGGAAGTCCCTCTTGAGATGGCTCAAGTTTCCACACTCGAAACAACCCCTCGTACGAGGCTGATGATCCTAATAACTCGAATAACTACATGTTAAACCTTGAGCAAATGGAGCATGGTAAGAACTCAGTGCCGACAACGGATTAACCAAACTGGGCGAGCTCTCTATGAGTTATGGCTAACTGATGAATCACGAGGTATCTGACAAGCTGCCTGAGTTGACCTAAAAGGACAAACTCTATTGTGATAAGACTAGCCTCCAAACGAGACACCACCAGAACCACCTAAACCACGGGGCCTCTTACCCCCTCATCCTCGCTCAAGCCTACGAACATGGTCCAAGCGCATAACAATATCAACCACCTGGTCAAACCTAGCATCCATCTCGACCTCTCGAGCCAAACTGTAATGTAGACCATAATCAAGGCTATCAATGAACCTCCTAATCTTCTCCCTCTCAGTGGGAACCAACCATATCACATGATGTGGCAAATCCGCGAATCTCATCTCGTACTAAGTCACAGTCATACCCTCCTGGTGTATCTTCTCAAATTCCTTACGCAACTCCTCTATGCAAGTCTGTGGGATAAACATTTTTAAGAAGATAATGGAAAACTGATGTCATGTAAATTATGCTGCACCAGCTGGTCTGCCACTAGTGTCCACAATACTGCGATGCAAAGAATTCGAAAACACTGATCCAAAAAACCCTAAACATCCTCTGAATCCCCTCTACTGAACTGGGAAGGGCGAAACCTTTGTAATCGCTCCAATGTCTTCTGCTGCTCATCAATCATAGGTGGTCTAACCTCGACCTGAGCAACAATAACTGGCTGAACTGGTAACGCCCTTGATGTCTGATAACCTTGAGCTAGCTGCTCCGATGTACGAGCGGCGGGAGTCTGAGCTCTTCCCCCAGCCTGTAAGGTAGGTGGTGCAAGTGGTATTATACGCATCTGAGTTAAGATCATGTACACACTCAAAATATGGGCCAAAACCTCCAAAAGACCAGGTATAGCAATATGTATCGCCGGTGTCTGAGCTGTCCCACCGGCTCCACCATATCCGGAACCTGCTCCTCCAGTGGAGCAACTGCTTTCTCCTCAGCTGATACTCTAGTTGTAGTGCAAGCCCCATCTCGGCCTCTACTTCAGCCTCGGCCTCTCACTGGCCTGACTGGTGGCACTGGTCCTTGCCCGCCAAATCCGGTTGAACGTGTCCTCACCATCTGTGAGAGAATAGAAAAGTAAAGGTTCAAACTTCAAAAATAACATATCCGCATGACTAGAATGCAAGAAAGTGAAGTTTCCTAACAGTCTGGTAGTGCCACGACCCCAAAATCCCACCTTTAGGATCGTGATAACACCTAGTCTCTAAGACTAGGTAAGCCTAACACATGATGAAATTTAGTAGAAATAACCATGTAACACCTAGGAAAATTTTAAAGTATTTTAGTATAAAGCCCCGTAAATTTCGCAAGTGAATCCAAGGTTTCGTGGTGCCGGAGTAGGCTTACGTGTTTGAGGATGGTATAAAGTCTTCGCGGCGAGCTTGCGAGCTACGGTTCAGACTCTTTGGGTTGAACAATGCACCGGAAAGTAAAAAAAAAAATTTGACGAAAAAGCGCACTTATGCGGTCCATTATGCGATCGCATAATTATTCTGCGGGCCGCATAATGGCCGCAAAAGTGAGCAGGAGAAGGGCCAGTATGGGGGCAATTATGCGGTCGGCTATGCGACCACATAACTGTTATGCGGTGCATTATGTGATCGCATAACAGTTATGCGGACCGCATAGTGACCGCATACACAAACAACTTTTTGATCATTTTGGTATTTAATTATGCGACCGCAGAACCTGTTCCGGAGCTCCATTTTTGGGTTTTTAAAACCCGACCCTACTTCATTCAATACACGCTTTGGGTCATTTTTGAGTAAAAAATCTGATGTTTTAGAGAGAAGGGAGAGTTTTTTAGAGAGAGAAAGAGGAAAACCCTAGGCTAATTATTCATCAAGTCTTGCTCAAATCTTGGAAGATTAACAAGGAAACCCCACAAGTTCTTTATCTAAGAGGTAAGGTTCCATGCCCTAGTTTTCAATTTCGAATTTGGGTAGAAGATGGTTGAT